TCCTGCAAGAATATTTCTTCAGAACTGCATACTTGATCAATGAGGTACCAATGATAAGTCACAAAACTAAGCACACTAATTTGAAGACTACAGAGAAGAGAGAATCTGATGCTGAGATAAGCAGGCATCAAGTGTATGCATCCTCATTCAACTGCTGTGAGCTACTTGCAAGCACATGAGGCATTGTCTCCAAGTCATCCCCATATAAGGCAAGAGTGAAATCTGTTCCAGTACTCCATTGGGACAGAAAGATGAGAGCCTATCAAAGGTTCAGGGTGACAAACACTGGAAGGAGAGAGGATGACAAATGACCATAGGAAAGGATAAACAAACATTGGCTGGTTTTTCAAGCCTTGCTGGAACAATTGGTTCTGTTCATGGTGACTGGGACCTGTTCCCTGCCAGAACAGGAATTGTGTAGTTAGGTAATACCCTACCATGATCCAAAATAACTAGAGAGGTGCTCCTGGACTTCCTAATTTGCTTACCTGCCTTGTCCCTCAAAAGGATAAGGAAGAAGGAGGAATGACTATGGTTGCTGTTGCATGCAGGTTGTTCTACTGGTTGACAGCGATAGGGTTGAATTTTGAGAAGAACATCTGAATTTGCTTACTTAGGGAGAGAACACTCTTCTCCACTAGGAAAAGCAGTATTGCCTATGGAAACGAGCCTCACCTATTCTCTACCCCAACTTAAATACAATTGTGACAGAATGAAGGGGACACCATGTACAGTAGCAGTTGCTTTTCTTCCTCTCCTCTACCTCCTCTTCTGTGTGCAAGAAGGCAATTGTATTCTTATTTTTTAAAAAATTATATTGACAAAAGTGAGAATAAAATCCTAAGTGTAAGAAATCAGTGGAGTGTATGGTAATTAATGCAACATCCCTTCAATTATTCACATGGGTCTCTTTACAAATTCCCCTCTGTTTCGGCGCTGCGGTTTGGCCAGCAGGCAATCATGTCAAAGATTGCTGAAGGAAATTTTTTTGATTTGTTTGTTGGCCAATAACTGTTTAAACTGCAAGGAATTTAAGCAATCTTGCCAGTCCATGCAATCCTCTTTTCTCCTCTTTGCCTGTGTTGGAACTAAATAGTAACAACAACCATATGTCTTTTCTTCTGAAACATTTCAAGACTGCACTTCAGAGGCAGTGTGCAACAACCAAAATCTAATGGTTATGGACGTGTTGTTTTTAAATCAACAAACTAGGGATCACTGAACTTTCATTTTTGTTTACATTTTTCATTTCAATTCCGTTCTTCCTCCATGGGATTCGTGGCAATGCAGAAGTTTCTTAGTGTCCCAGAACAGCTCTACAAGGTAGGTCACATTGAAAGAGAATAGCTGGCCCAAGATTATACATTTAATAGCTGAACAGAAATTTGAGCCTTTGTTCTGATCCAGCATTCTGACCATTATACCATTCTGCTTCTCAAGTCACTTATTCAGTCTACTTTGGGTAAAAGATGTGGATCATTGGTTGCCTTATCCTGATATACTGTAACTATTTCAGATTCCAGACTTAGTGGGCGCACTTCAGATCACCGAGTCAGTGGCAACAAGTGCCGTTTCTTGTCTGCTGAAGAATGTCTCAGCCAATACAGTGACAAGCTTATGGAAGAATATGGGGTAATGATATGCTCCTCTTTGCTATTATTGATCCACATAATGACTTAATCTTATATGGTAAATATTGATGGACAAGCCAGCACTTTAAATTTCTCCAGCTCATCTCAGCTATGTCTATGAGAGGGAGAAATCAGTGTCCTCTATAAGCAAAGCTGAGCTACTTTCCACATAAGCAACATGACAGATAGCTAATCTGTTAACGATCTGGTGATGACTCTGACTCTGAGCAACGGGTCAGTGATAACTTTGTGAAACTACCAGTTCAGTTTCCTGGGGAACTTTTTGAAGGAATCTGAGATTCCAGAAATGCTCTTCTTGAAAGTCACTTTGGTTCAAGTAATTTCACAAGCAATTGATGTTGTGATGTAACTGAAAAAGTTACAAGGAACCACCTGAACTACTGAATACAACCTAGGATAGAACACCTGCTTCATAAGAATTCTTGATATGTGGCTGTGCACTTTATGTGACATGTTATAAGTAGTTTAAAATTTATCTTATAAGTGAATAATTTGGAATAAATGGTCATTTATAACATACCTTTAGCTGGATAGTTACTAGAGTGTATGCATAGTGATATCTCTGGCAAGAAAACAAGAAAAGTTATACCCTGATGTTGCACTGAATATTCTCTGTTAGGATCCATACGTTGCTTTCCGTAAAATAGATCTGAACAACGATGGTATAATCACCATGCTTGATTTTCGACGCCTCTTGGATAGCTTTATGATCAGCATGACAGATGAGGAATATGGACGTCTGCTTGGTCTCCTGGGGATGAACGTGACTTCTACATTAAATTATCCAGAATTCCTTCATTTGTTCCAAGTGCATGCAACTAAAGAGATGCGCCCTTGGCTTGCCCCGTCTTACAAGTAAGAAGTCTAGCTATTTTAAAGATTTACTTAAATCTATATTATAATTCTATACAAGATGGAAGGTAATATAGGATATAAGCTGTACTGAATAGAATGTAAGCTACTCTTAAATAAATTAAATTATTTGTGGAAATTAGTTTACTCCAGATACATTTACTAAGAAGACAAAAAAGAATGGACTAAGCAATACCGGTAGTTCATGAACTGTCCTTTTGTAAAATTAAAACCTATTATGCTTTAGCACAGCATTTCCCATTCTTTGTTGTTGTTTAGTCATTGAGTTGTGTCCGACTCTTTGTGACCCCATGGACCAGAGCACGCCAGGCCCTCAAGTCTTCCACTGCCTCCCGGAGTTGGGTCAAATTCATGTTGGTAGCTTCGATGGCACTGTCCAACCACTTCATCCTCTGTTGTCCCCTTCTCCTCTTGCCCTCGTACTTTCCCAATATTAGGGTCTTTTCCAGGGAGTCTTCTCTTCTCATGAGATGGCCAAAGTATTGGAGCCTCAGCTTCAGGATCTGTCCTTCCAGTGAGCACTCAGGGTTGATTTCCTTCAGAATGGATAGGTTTGT